AGAGTGAGCATGAGTTGCACAATATAGCTAATAGAGTAAAACGTCAGGTCAGACACGATATTTCGGTGAAAAATTATCCGATCATCATGAAAATCGATAGATCATCATGAAAATCAATAGGGATCATCTTCATAACGACATAGACATACAAAATAAAAATCAAAAGAATCTGTAAAGAATTGTAGCCTGTAGAGTGAGCACAAGTTGCACAATATAGCTAATAGAGTAAAACGTCAAGTCAGACAGGATATTTCGGTAAAAAATTATCCCATCATCACGAAAATCAATAGGGATCATCTTCATAATGACATTGACACACAAAATAAAAATCAAAAGAATCTGTAAAAAATTGTAGTCTGTAGAGTGAGCACGAGTTGCACAATATAGCTAATAGAGAAAAACGTCAAGTCAGACACAATATTTCGGTGAAAAATTATCCGATCACCACGAAAATCAATAGGGACCACCTTCATAACAACATTGACATACAAAATAAAAATCAAAAGAATCCATAAAGAACTGTAGCCTGTAGAGTGAGCACGAGCCAAATGTGAACGGACGGACGGACCGACCGACGGACCAACGGACCGACGGGTTGATTACAATATACGCCCATCTTACGTGTGGGCGTATAACAACAGAAGATGAGGACAGTTGCAAATAAAACAACAGAAGATGAGGACAGTTACAGATAAAACAACAGAAGATGAGGACAGTTACAGATAAAACAACAGAAGATGAGGACAGTTGCAAATAAAAAGATAGCTTGCCAGGCAAGGTAACATACGCCCACTGGCAGCTGTCAGAAATGATTAAACAGTCTTTAGTGACTACAAGGTTGCACAATATAGCTAATAGAGTGAAACGTCAAGTCAGACACGATATTTCGGTGAAATATTATCCAATCATAGCGAAAATCAATAGGGATCATCTTCATAATGACATTGACATACAAAATAAAAATCAAAAGAATCTGTAAAGAATTGTAGCCTGTAGAGTGAGCACGAGTTGCACAATATAGCTAATAGAGAAAAACGTCAAGTCAGACACAATATTTCGGTGAAAAATTATCCCATCATCACGAAAATCAATAGGGATCATCTTCATAATGACATTGACACACAAAATAAAAATCAAAAGAATCTGTAAAACATTGTAGCCTGTAGAGTGAGCACGAGTTGCACAATATAGCTAATAGAGAAAAACGTCAAGTCAGACACAATATTTCGGTGAAAAATTATCCGATCATCACAAAAATCAATAGGGATCATCTTCATAACAACATTGACATACAAAATAAAAATCAAAAGAATCCATAAAGAACTGTAGCCTGTAGAGTGAGCAAGAGCCACATGTGAACGGACGGACGGGCGGACAGACGAACGGACCGACGGA